AACGGCAAACTCCCGCGTGCCTATCATGGTGACTTCTGAGTCGAAGGGCAAACTCCCGTGCGCCTATCATGGTGACTTCTGAGTCGAACGGCAAACTCCCGCGCGCCTATCATGGTGACTTCTGAGTCGAACGGCAAACTCCCGCGTGCCTATCATGGTGACTTCTGAGTCGAAGGGCAAACTCCCGCGTGCCTATCATGGTGACTTCTGAGTCGAACGGCAAACTCCCGCGTGCCTATCATGGTGACTTCTGAGTCGAACGGCAAACTCCCGCGCACCTATCATTGTAACTTCTGAGTCGAACGGCAAACTCCCGCGTGCCTATCATGGTGACTTCTGAGTCGAACGGCAAACTCCCGCGCGCCTATCATGGTGACTTCTGAGTCGAACGGCAAACTCCCGCGTGCCTATCATGGTGACTTCTGAGTCGAACGGCAAACTCCCGCGCGCCTATCATGGTGACTTCTGAGTCGAACGGCAAACTCCCGCGTGCCTATCATGGTGACTTCTGAGTCGAACGGCAAACTCCCGCGTGCCTATCATGGTGACTTCTGAGTCGAAGGGCAAACTCCCGTGCGCCTATCATGGTGACTTCTGAGTCGAACGGCAAACTCCCGCGCGCCTATCATGGTGACTTCTGAGTCGAACGGCAAACTCCCGCGTGCCTATCATGGTGACTTCTGAGTCGAAGGGCAAACTCCCGCGTGCCTATCATGGTGACTTCTGAGTCGAACGGCAAACTCCCGCGTGCCTATCATGGTGACTTCTGAGTCGAACGGCAAACTCCCGCGCACCTATCATTGTAACTTCTGAGTCGAACGGCAAACTCCCGCGTGCCTATCATGGTGACTTCTGAGTCGAACGGCAAACTCCCGCGCGCCTATCATGGTGACTTCTGAGTCGAACGGCAAACTCCCGCGTGCCTATCATGGTGACTTCTGAGTCGAACGGCAAACTCCCGCGCGCCTATCATGGTGACTTCTGAGTCGAACGGCAAACTCCCGCGCGCCTATCATGGTGACTTCTGAGTCGAACGGCAAACTCCCGCGCGCCTATCATGGTGACTTCTGAGTCGAACGGCAAACTCCCGCGTGCCTATCATGGTGACTTCTGAGTCGAACGGCAAACTCCCGCGCGCCTATCATGGTGACTTCTGAGTCGAACGGCAAACTCCCGCGCGCCTATCATGGTGACTTCTGAGTCGAAGGGCAAACTCCCGCGTGCCTATCATGGTGACTTCTGAGTCGAACGGCAAACTCCCGCGTGCCTATCATGGTGACTTCTGAGTCGAACGGCAAACTCCCGCGTGCCTATCATGGTGACTTCTGAGTCGAACGGCAAACTCCCGCGCGCCTATCATGGTGACTTCTGAGTCGAACGGCAAACTCCCGCGCGCCTATCATGGTGACTTCTGAGTCGAACGGCAAACTCCCGCGCGCCTATCATGGTGACTTCTGAGTCAAAGGGCAAACTCCCGCGCGCCTATCATGGTGACTTCTGAGTCGAACGGCAAACTCCCGCGCGCCTATCATGGTGACTTCTGAGTCGAAGGGCAAACTCCCGCGCGCCTATCATGGTGACTTCTGAGTCGAACGGCAAACTCCCGCGTGCCTATCATGGTGACTTCTGAGTCGAAGGGCAAACTCCCGTGCGCCTATCATGGTGACTTCTGAGTCGAACGGCAAACTCCCGCGCGCCTATCATGGTGACTTCTGAGTCGAACGGCAAACTCCCGCGTGCCTATCATGGTGACTTCTGAGTCGAAGGGCAAACTCCCGCGTGCCTATCATGGTGACTTCTGAGTCGAACGGCAAACTCCCGCGTGCCTATCATGGTGACTTCTGAGTCGAACGGCAAACTCCCGCGTGCCTATCATTGTAACTTCTGAGTCGAACGGCAAACTCCCGCGTGCCTATCATGGTGACTTCTGAGTCGAACGGCAAACTCCCGCGCGCCTATCATGGTGACTTCTGAGTCGAAGGGCAAACTCCCGTGCGCCTATCATGGTGACTTCTGAGTCGAAGGGCAAACTCCCGTGCGCCTATCATGGTGACTTCTGAGTCGAACGGCAAACTCCCGCGCGCCTATCATGGTGACTTCTGAGTCGAACGGCAAACTCCCGCGTGCCTATCATGGTGACTTCTGAGTCGAAGGGCAAACTCCCGCGTGCCTATCATGGTGACTTCTGAGTCGAACGGCAAACTCCCGCGCGCCTATCATGGTGACTTCTGAGTCGAACGGCAAACTCCCGCGCACCTATCATTGTAACTTCTGAGTCGAACGGCAAACTCCCGCGTGCCTATCATGGTGACTTCTGAGTCGAACGGCAAACTCCCGCGCGCCTATCATGGTGACTTCTGAGTCGAACGGCAAACTCCCGCGTGCCTATCATGGTGACTTCTGAGTCGAACGGCAAACTCCCGCGCGCCTATCATGGTGACTTCTGAGTCGAACGGCAAACTCCCGCGCGCCTATCATGGTGACTTCTGAGTCGAACGGCAAACTCCCGCGCGCCTATCATGGTGACTTCTGAGTCGAACGGCAAACTCCCGCGTGCCTATCATGGTGACTTCTGAGTCGAACGGCAAACTCCCGCGCGCCTATCATGGTGACTTCTGAGTCGAACGGCAAACTCCCGCGCGCCTATCATGGTGACTTCTGAGTCGAAGGGCAAACTCCCGCGTGCCTATCATGGTGACTTCTGAGTCGAACGGCAAACTCCCGCGTGCCTATCATGGTGACTTCTGAGTCGAACGGCAAACTCCCGCGTGCCTATCATGGTGACTTCTGAGTCGAACGGCAAACTCCCGCGCGCCTATCATGGTGACTTCTGAGTCGAACGGCAAACTCCCGCGCGCCTATCATGGTGACTTCTGAGTCGAACGGCAAACTCCCGCGCGCCTATCATGGTGACTTCTGAGTCAAAGGGCAAACTCCCGCGCGCCTATCATGGTGACTTCTGAGTCGAACGGCAAACTCCCGCGCGCCTATCATGGTGACTTCTGAGTCGAAGGGCAAACTCCCGCGCGCCTATCATGGTGACTTCTGAGTCGAACGGCAAACTCCCGCGTGCCTATCATGGTGACTTCTGAGTCGAAGGGCAAACTCCCGTGCGCCTATCATGGTGACTTCTGAGTCGAACGGCAAACTCCCGCGCGCCTATCATGGTGACTTCTGAGTCGAACGGCAAACTCCCGCGTGCCTATCATGGTGACTTCTGAGTCGAACGGCAAACTCCCGCGTGCCTATCATGGTGACTTCTGAGTCGAACGGCAAACTCCCGCGTGCCTATCATGGTGACTTCTGAGTCGAACGGCAAACTCCCGCGTGCCTATCATTGTAACTTCTGAGTCGAACGGCAAACTCCCGCGTGCCTATCATGGTGACTTCTGAGTCGAACGGCAAACTCCCGCGCGCCTATCATGGTGACTTCTGAGTCGAACGGCAAACTCCCGCGTGCCTATCATGGTGACTTCTGAGTCGAACGGCAAACTCCCGCGCGCCTATCATGGTGACTTCTGAGTCGAACGGCAAACTCCCGCGCGCCTATCATGGTGACTTCTGAGTCGAACGGCAAACTCCCGCGCGCCTATCATGGTGACTTCTGAGTCGAACGGCAAACTCCCGCGCGCCTATCATGGTGACTTCTGAGTCGAACGGCAAACTCCCGCGCGCCTATCATGGTGACTTCTGAGTCGAACGGCAAACTCCCGCGCGCCTATCATGGTAAATCGATTTATTGTCCAAGTGAACAAAGTGGCAGCCATGGTACTGTAAAAGGGCAAACTCCCATGCCGCACCTATCATGCCAATGATTGGCGTGCGCAGCTCGTGAGACAGGTTAGCCACAGTGACGCTCTTGGATTGCTCTGCCTTCTCCAGCGCTGCTGTGCACAGCTGCATCTCCCTCACGCCTTCCTCCATGTGCCTTCGCTTCCATGCCATCACTGCGATCACGGCTGACAGCAGCAGCGCCACCAGCAGCACCAGTAGCCCCAGCAGCATGGGTGCATAGACCAGGTCCCACCTGGGGTATGCGCCTTCGAAACTGCAGTCACATGAGGAGTGGAAGGTAGATGGGGAGAATGCGGGCGCATGGGAAGAGGAAGAGGGGAATAGGGATGGTTTTCTGCGGTTGACTGAAAGGATAGCAGCAGCGCCACCAGCAGCACCAGCAGCCCTAGCAGCATGGTTGCGTAGACCAGGTCCCACATGGGGTATGCTCCCTCAAACCTGCAGGTGCACGGGGAGGGGAGTGCAAGGAAGAGAGGGAGAATGAGAGGGGAGTGCAAAAGATAAAGGGAGTGCCACCAGCAGCACAGCACCACAGCAGCAGCATAGCATGGCACCCACCACCAGTGAGCCTCATACGTCCTTCCAAACAGCCCCTCGGGGAACGGCTCGACGTGATCGCTACTAGGCACTACTGGTCCTGGGGGCATGCACAGTGGTCCATTGCGGTGGAGCGCGGTGAACTCACATGGTTTCATGGCAACACAGCACCCACCTGCAGTGCGCCTCGTACGTGCGGCCGAAAAGCCCCTCAGGGAACGGCTCGACATGGCCGCTGCAAGGCACTTCCAGCGGGGGCAGCACGAGGGGTTCATCACGGTGAAATGCGGTGGAACGAGGTTGAACACAGTGGCACCCACCTGCAGTGCGCCTCATAGGTCCTCCCAAAGAGCCCTTCAGGAAATGGCTCGACGTGGTCGCTGCGAGGCACGTCTAGCGAGGGCAGCACGAGAGGGAAGAGGGAGTCCCTCTGCAGCCGCGGCTCCTGCGGGCCGTAGATCTGCAGCAGCTCGCCCGGCTCTGTGCTGTCGTAGAGCGCAAAGGAGTATGCACCCCTGCCTGTGTGTGTGTGTGTTGGAGGAGGAGGTTGTGGGGAAGGGGACAAAGGGGAGGTAGCGAGTGGGTGGGTGGTGGTGGTATGTCAAGGATGGCAGATCTGCATCGGCTCGCCCGGCCCGGCTATGTGCTATTGTAGCGCGCAAAAGAGTATGTGGCGCCGCCTGTGGGGTGGGAGGCACAGCTACGGCTCCTGTGGGTGTGGGAGACATGTGGGTTAGGAGTATGAGGCACTGGAGGGCACACAAGGGAGGGCACACACGGGAGGGCACACACGGGAGGGCACACACGGGAGGGCAGCTAGCAGGCTCTGGTCCGAGGTCCTGAGGATAGGTACAAGAGTTGCAGCAATGCAATTATTCTGAAGAAGAGGAGGGGGGGAAGGAGGAGGAGGAGGAGGAGGAGGAGGAGGAGGAGGAGGAGGAGGAGGAGGAGGAGGAGGAGGAGGAGGAGGAGGAGGAGGAGGAGGAGGAGGAGGAGGAGGAGGGGGAGGAGGAGGAGGAGGAGGAGGAGGAGGAGGACGAGGAGGAGGAGGAGGACGAGGAGGAGGAGGAGGAGGAGGAGGAGGAGGAGGAGGAGGAGGAGGAGGAGGAGGAGGAGGAGGAGGAGGAGGAGGAGGAGGAGGAGGAGGAGGAGGAGGAGGAGGAGGAGGAGGAGGAAAAGGAGAATGTTGCACGCCCGCCACTCCAACCGCACCAACGCAGTCCACGTGGTATCAATGCTCTAGCTGATCAACTTCAAGGCGCCTCAGCTAGCTGTTTCTAAGCATCATACCGTCTCCATCCGCCAGCATGTCGAGAATGTTGCGCGCCCGGCGCCCGCCACTCCAGCCGCACCAACGCTCCCCATGCGGTGCTCATACTCCCCCTGATCATGTCTGAGGCGCCTCGAACATCATATCAATGCTCAAGCTTTGAGTCATACCGTTGTCTCCATCCGCCAGCATGTCGAGTATGTTGCGCGCCCGCCACTCCAGGCGCACCAACGCTCCCCATGCGGTGCCGATGCTCTCACTGATCTGCTGCGGCGTCGCATCGGCCGGCACTGGTTGACGCAAGATGGGAATCACAAACACTGCACGCAGCAGCATGGAGAGGCACGGAGGGGCACGCAGGGGCAGGGAGGAGCAGGCAGGGGCAGGCAGGGGCAGGGAAGAGTGGGGCAGGGAGGGGCAGGGAGGGGTAGGGAGGAGTGGGGCAGGCAGGGTGCAAGCAGGCAGGGATGGGGCAGACATGGAACAAGGCTGGATGGGATACGGAACAGAGCATGCTAAGAAACTCAAGATTCAACAGAAAACGGTAGCATATTGTGCAGCCTGCCAGCCAAGCGTGTGTTCGTGTACAGTTGAAATTCGTTGGGTTCGAAACGCAGCAAGCCTTCTAGGAGTAGCGATCTATAGCACTAGTCTACTAATCTGAAAGGCGAGGGAAAAAACCCTGCAGCCTGCCAGCCAAGCGTGTGTTCGTGTACAACGCTGTGTGGTTACACTCAGGTGTGCGCTGCGGTACACACTTAGGTGTGCGCTGCGGTACACACTTAGGTGTGCACCTCAGAAGAAGGAGCATGCAAAAGCGCACGCGCGCACGCACACGCACACAACCCCCTCCCCCCTCCTCCCCGCCCCCCCACACACACACGCACGCACGCACCATGGTAAGTGTGTGCCATCACATAATATTCGCGTATTGTTGCAGCTGAAGGTACCTCAGAAGAAAGAGAGGAGAGAGAGCACGCACCGCTGGACACGTGGCTGTGGACCGAGGAACACAGGGGGGCCAGCAGAATGTCGATGATGGGCGGCGGTACGAGAGGGGCGAAGTCAGTGAGAGGCAACAGCAGACATGACCACTTGACTCGAGCACGCACCTCATGGGTGTGCGAGGAACACAGTGTGAGCGAAAAGAGAGACCCGATCGGACCGTATGAGCACGCACCGCTGGACACGTGGCTGGGGCCGAGGAACACAGGGGGGCCGGAACTGGGCTTGCCGGCCAGCAGAATGTCGATGATGGGCGGCGGTACGAGAGGGGCGAAGTCAGTGAGAGGAGGAATATCAATCCCTTGGTCCATGACGCCACAGACATTCACAGCGTATAGGTCCTTGCGTGGCGATGGCAACCCCAGCACGGACCGCACCTCACACCCTGTGATCCTCTCCACTGTGGCTCTGCTTGGTGGGGGTGGGTGGGAATGGGAGGGAATGGGAGGGAATGGGAGGGAATGGGAGGGAATGGGAGGGAATGGGAGGGAATGGGAGGGAATGGGTGGGAATGGGTGGGAATGGGTGGGAATGGGTGGGAATGGGTGGGGAGACACACATATCACACGTTCACAGCGTATAGGTCCTTGCGTGGCGATGGCAGCCCCAGCACAGACCGCACCTCGCACCCGGTGATCCTCTCCACTGTGGCCCTGTGTGGGCGGGGGAGGTGTGGGGAGGAGAAGGGCAGGCACTCGAGTTGCCACACCCGTTGACATCATACATCTCAGACCACCAAGTGTACTCCAGCAGAGATACATTGTTGCTGTAGTGCAACCAATACAGCTAGTGCAACCTCCTCTCTCACCTGTCCTGGTCCTGTAACACCATCATGACAGTGCCGCTGCTGTAGTTGGCAATGCGGTGGGACCACCAAGTATACTCCAGCAGCGACTGGTTGTTCACGCACCCCGCCAGCCCCCAGTAGCTCAGGTTGCTGCTGCTGCGCGGGCCATACGAGCCAAACACCTTCACCAGCCCCGTGCCCTCCTGGTGTGTGCGTGTGAGAGAGAGGGTGGGTAAGAGAGGGTGGGGAAGAGGTGGTGGGTAAGAGAGGGTGGGGAAGAGGTGGTGGGTAAGAGAGGGTGGGGAAGAGGTGGTGGGTAAGAGAGGGTGGGGAAGAGGTGGTGGGTAAGAGAGGGTGGGGAAGAGGTGGTGGGTAAGAGAGGGTGGGGAAGAGGTGGTGGGTAAGAGTGGGTGAATAACGGAGGGTGGGTAAGAGAGGGTGGGAAAGAGAGGGTGGGAAAGAGAGGGTGGGTAAGAGAGTGTAAGACAGGGTGGATAAGGGAGTGTGGGTAAGGGAGTGTGGGTAAGGGAGTGTGGGTAAGGGAGTGTGGGCAAGGGAGGGTGGGTAAGGGAGGGGGAGTAGCGAGGGTTGATAAGAGAGGGTGGGCAAGGGAGGGTGGGTAAGAGAGAGGATGGGTAAGAGAGCGAGAGGAGCAAAAAACAGCAATGCGAGATATAGATGTGGAGGGAAGAAGCAGTGTGAGAGGGCAAAGGTGGGGAGGAAGACAGGCAGAGGTGAGGAGAGAAGGGGCCCTTCACCCCTCATCGTCCTCTCTCCCTCAACGCCCTCTCCCCTCAACGCCCTCTCCCCCTCAACGCCCTCTCCCCCTCAACGCCCTCAAAGCCCTCTCCCGCTCTCCCCCTCAACGCCCTCTCTCCCTAAGCGAACTTTCTCCTTGGCGCGCGCACAGGGCGCAGCTACTGGCGCTTCCACACGCCCACCGGGGAATGCAGGAGTCAAGCACTGAGGAAAGGGGCAATGCGCGCGGGGAACGTGCGGAAGGGCGAAGCGCTCAGGGCTTGTGGGGATGGGGGAAGTAGGCAGAGGTCGTGGGGAGGGGGGAATGGAGCAGGGCTCGTGGGAATGGAAACTTGCGGAGGTCTTGTGGGGAAGGGGCTCTTGGGAATGGATGATCGACAATGGTTATGGGTAAGTGCTTGCACATGCGAGTGCAACGGCGTGTGTGCGCTGGAGTAGCATTCGCGGAGTAAGGGCGGAAGCACGTGCGCGGAAGCACGCGCGTTAGTACGAGTTTGGGGATAGAATATCCCGTCACGGTACAAGGCGGAAGCACATGCGCGCGTGTGAGATCTGGGAGGACGCAACTGTGCGGATATGGGGCGGAACAAAGTTACATCGGCGGCGCGCACTACCTCGGCGCGAAGTGCCTCGGCGCGCCGTGCGCAATAGCTCGGCGCGCGCAATAGCTTGGAGCGCGCGTTACTGCCTCGGCGCGCGCAGTACTACCTCGGCGCGCGCAATGGCGGAGCGGATGTCCTGGTGGAGGTAGCGCACGCGCGTGCGGCACCACACGCGGATCGCCTCCTGCCGCGGCTCGTCCGCCTGCTTGTGCGCGAACCACACCACCCACGCGCAGAGCCCCACCCATCCCGCCACCCACGCCGCCGCCAGCAGCACCCTTCCCGCGCCGCCCCACCGCGCGACCAGCGACGAGCGTACAAATGTCAACCGCATGAGGCGGCCAGGGGAGGCCGCGCGGAATGCGGGGGGACGGAGCGGATGAGGGGAGGCCGCGCAGATGGGGGGGAGGCGGAGCAGAGTGGAGGCGAAGCAGATGACGGGGACGGCGGAAAGAGCGAGGGCGGAGGCGCGAATGAGTGGCGAGTCAGGCAGCCTGCTACTATCCCACACTTAGTTGCGTTGGCGGAAATCTAGTACTCATATTGCTGGGTAGTGGCGCGGTTCGGAAAGTCACCAGCATATCAGGCACCTTCACCTCTCTCTCGCAGGTTAGGTACCTTCGCCTGTCTCCGTCTCCTAGCAAGTTGTCGGCAGGTTTCGGTTCTGTTCGGTCAATCAAGCATGCATGAAGGCCGAAATGTTGCATTGGATTGGGTTGGGGGCCGGTCGCGCGTGTGAATTATGATTCGTACGGGGTGTTTCGTTAACGAGGATTAAATTTCTGCAAATATATAGTGTTGCAACAATCTCGCACCTAAATGGACATCTTTATGCAAAAAGAAAATGTACCGTCATACCCCGGATATACCCTCACGGGGGGCAATAAGAAAACCTTTTTTTAGGGGGGTGGGCTTATAATCGAGTAAATTTATAAGCGCCGGCGTTTATAAAATGACATATATATATATATATATGTATATATTTAATTCTACTTTTTAACACCAAACTATAGATCTCGTGCTTGCCTTTTCAATCGAGTCGAAGTTACATGGGGTCGTCTGTGAAATTCTCGCGCGCGCTGGGAGATACACTCAATCTGACTCACATCCAGCTCCTGACAGCTCCTGCTGACTGGACCCGCATCCAGTGCAGGGTCCGAATGTGAAGGGAACCGAATCAGCAACAAATCTGCCTGCTAAAGTAAAACTCGTTACAGCGTTTTGAATGTCAAACATTGTATATGTTGTATTTGAGTAGGCTGTAGTGGGTTAGCCTATAGGGGGGTCACAACATTAGGGTTTCATATTTGTACTCACAATCCTTTCTAGTCCATCATTCCAGTCCGTTATTACTGACATGGTTTCAGAGCAGGTCCGTCGCTAGGACTGTTCTTAGGGCCCACCTACCTACCTACCTACCTACTGTGCGCCTCGTGCGCCTGCGCGCCCTAGAGCGCTCCTTACCTACCTACCACGCGCACGCAGCTCGCTAGCCGCCCGCGCGTGGCTTTCCTTTTTTTTTTTACCGCGCGCGCCGTACTAGCCGCTCGCGCGCGGCCGTTTTCACGCGTGCGCCCCGCCAGCTGCCCGCGCGCGCTTTATTTTCTTCGCGCGCGGCCCGTCGCGCTGCCTCCCCGCTGCCCGCGCGCCTTTGCGCTGCTGCCCGTGCGCCTCGTGGCCTCGCGCACTGCCCGCCCGTCGCCTGCTCGCGCACGCCCCGCAGGCCCGCAGCCCGCCGTCGCAGAGGCCGCACGCCCGCTGCTCGCAGCCGCCCGTGCGCAGCTGCCACTGCCGCACGTACGCATACGCAGCTGCCGCCCGTGCGCTGCTTCCGCTGCTGCTTGCGCACCGCCGCCTC